ACCTTAATAATGCTCAGTGCCATAATAGTTATGATTACTGAGGCGATAAGGGATAATGTTCCCTCTGTTTTTTTAATATCATAAGTGATAAAAAAAAATTCCTTTTGAGATTTAAGTAAGCGAAATAAAAAGACTAAGTAGATTCCTTTTGAAAAGATGTTATTTTTATTTTTGGATTTTTTTTTTGAATTTTTTTTATCAATCAACAATAACAAACTATTGATAATGATTCTGGTAAATAGAGATCATAATCAATCTATCAGGAGAATGTAATATTGTTTTCAAAATCTGATTTAGAGTACTTATATATGAAAATAGATTAGTTATATTATGAAAGTCTATAAACTATTGTAAATTTTGGTTTAATTTTTCAATAAAAATAAGCTATTATAACATAATTGCAGATTAAAAAAAAAAAATAATAATAAAATAAAAATTTGTTGAAAAAATTATAATAAATAAAACTAATATTAAGATAAATTTTATAATTTTTGATTGTATAATTAAAAATTAAAAAATTGTTAAAGTTGAAATTTATAATAAAGACATAGTAAGTGAATTCTAACTTTTGGAGACAACTGTATATAAAATTTTATAAAAAAATTTTTTAACTTTAAATCAAATTTTTGAAAAAAAATTTTAATTAATTATTATTAAAACTTATGTATTTTTATAAATTATATACTGTATATTTAGAATTTTATTTTTTGACCCAAACTGTGACTATCAACGTTGGATCTTAGAAATTTTTATAATTAAATATTTATGAATATATAAAGCAAAGAAAGAATATGAACATGACACTCATTTCGATCAATATTACATAATCGCGAAAACGACAATTGTAGTTAGGCAACACTTCCTAGTCGTGGTTTGCAATTAAAGCTTCGAAATGGGTTAAATGCATTTACAGTAACTGAAACGATATACTTTATATGCTCATCAGTTTATGCACAAATTAACACACCTTTCAGTATGTAACAATAAATTATCTATACGGTTGCCTTTAGAAACCAAAGCAAGAGACAATGTGCGTAAAAATCTTGGGATTCACGATATTAAAAACACATCGTTATTTAAAAATGATCAAATACAGTAACTAGAAATTTTAACCGTAATATTGCAGCTATTGGATGCATTGACCATTAACATATCCAGGATCTCATTGTCAATGTTATTATGACGGTGAAGTTTTGGTAATTCATTGAGTTATCTCTTAAAGTCCGTATGTTCGGACATGTTTCCAAATTGGTATGCAAGATCGTATGGCACCTTCGCGAATCGACCGGATTAGGTGTGTATAGGAATAAATCATTTTAGTTTAAATCAGTTGACCATGCGTTTTTGCGTGGTAGCATTGACCTTCTATTAATCATAAAAGGGAACCTAAAGTTTCCGAGTCTCGTAAATTCTCTACATGCTAGTTTCACATATAATTACTATCTTTGTAGAATAAAAATATGGTTTATTTATTTGACGTGCCTGCTTACTTTATTCTTTTGCGTGAATCGCTCGAGGTCACTGTCATCCTTTCAGTTCTTTTGGGATTTATTGATAAATTGGTCCCCGAGAGCGAGCATGACTTAAGAAAAAGAATGAAAAAACAAATATGGCTTGGTTCTATCTGTGGTTTACTTGTCGCATTGATTATCGGGGTTGTATTTATTATCATTTTTTATACTCTCGCAAGAAATCTATGGAATTCTAGTGAAAGTATTTGGGGTAAATTTTATTTTTCAAACTTCAACTGAATTCATGCAGTTTAAGTCCTCATTGTCGCCTCACTCTTCTTTTATTCTCAAAATGAAATACAAAAAACAGAGGGAACATTATCCCTTATCGCCTCAGTAATCATAACTATTATGGCACTGAGCATTATTAAGGTTGCTAATTGGAAGAAAAAATGGGAAGGAAAACTACAAAGCACGACAGAATCATATCTTAAAAAAACTGAGAAAGGAAAAAAATGGTCCTTGGTCGCCTTGTCTTTCACAGTTGTCTGTCGTGAAGCTTTAGAGTCCGTTGTATTTATGGCGGGGGTAAATAAATATTATGCGTTATCTAGTATTCTTTATGTATGACTCTTCACGAGAATGGCTAATGTTCGATTGGGTATATTTTACAGATTGGAGTTAACAAGCCTGCCACTAGTCTTCCCATTCCAATCATTCTTGGTATTCTTTCGGGATTTTTCGTCGGCTGGGTCATCCTCCGAGGATCTCATAAAATTTCGCTGAACATATTTCTCATTACTACCACTACATTTATGCTCTTTATTGCCGCCGGACTTTTTTCTACAGCAATCGATGAATTTCAAGACGCAACCAATAATTCAGGAACTGTCTTATGGACTCTCAATTGTTGCGACCCCGATACTGAGACTTTCTGGGAAACGATGCATGGTCTTTTTGGGTGGGATAACAAATCTACAGTCGGAACGTTCTGCGGGTATTTCTCTTATTGGATCGTGGTGATTTGTGCAATAATATTTATTTATCGACGAGGAGAAAAAGATGCTAAAGAGGTAAAAGTCGACGACCTGGAGAGTAACGAAAAATCGGCCAGTGAAGTAGCGGACAAAGAATGACTTGATTCAAAATTTTTATCACAAAACTCATAAAAAAGTAATACAGTACGTATAATTTTTAATTTTTATTTTCTGAGAAACTTACGAATTGTCCTAAGCGCAGGACGTTCGGAATATATACAGTATATATATATATATATATATATATATTTTTGCTGAATGTTATTATATAAAGACTTCAAGTGAATCCTTTATTACCGTTAAGTCAAACCCACGCTGGAGGGAAATTGAATATATTTTATATTATAATAAAAATCTAATAATCGCTTTAAGCCATTTATCATTATTCAAACATATAGTTTTTATATTCTAAAATTTCTTAACTCTTTAAGCAATCTAAATATAATATTTGTCAAATGGCTATCTTATATAAATGCATGCGATTTTTTTTTAAACTAGTTTAGCATATTTTTATTAAATACTGTAAATAAATATATACTTTATATTATAGTTCAATCAATATATTCAAGATAAAAGTATATTTATAAATAACTTTAGAAACAATCTATTGCTACTTACTATTGAACTCTATATTTCAATTTAAATAAAATATAAGAAAATAAAAATAAAAATAAAAAACAAAGTATTACAAAATATAAATTATAGATTTTAACTATTTACTATACAATATATCTTTTTTTTTTTTATATATCTGTGGTCAGGCTAGCATAGTATATTTATTAATCTTTATGAAAACTGATAGAGATATATTGGGCAATTATATTATGACTAAACTAAATCTCATGGTGACTCACTCATTAACAGCTTTCAATTTTTAAATAAGTTTAAACTTTTAAATATGATCTTAGGGATAATATTTTACTCTGGAATAAGTTTTAAGTAAATATTCTCCTAACTTATCCATCATTGTTGGCAAGTTATTGCTATTTATTATTTTTCAAAAAACTAATTTCAAGAAACTACAATAGAAAAAAGGAAAATATTTAAAAAAATATAAATAAAATGTACATATATAAAAAAAAAAAATAATAATAAAAGTACTCTATGTTCTTTAAAGGATCTTTACTAGAAACTAGTGATTACAATTTTATTTGAATCTGATTGATCCATAAATCAGATACAAATTGAATCAAATCAAATTCAAAAATTTTA